TGACATGTAGTATTCGAGGACGCTCGCACTTACCTTTTGATCAGTATATCACTTCAAGGATTCTTCCTCTTCATGGACTCAACAACTGTGAGAAAGTTTATGGTGACAGCTATCCTCATGATGGGATAATACTACTCATATAGATTCAAAAAAAAAAATCGCATAATGCACAATTGCATAAATATCCTTTAGATTTGAACTGTGGCAAGACGTACATATTGCATCTGGTACAGATTGGATATGGAACTTGCATAAAAAGATTTTCACCACCCTCGTACCGTGACTGATTTGATTACTTTGATTTGGTATTGGATTGAAGACTTCATATTCATGATTATCATGTGTTGCTTCGGGCACCGACCGTTTGGGTCGGTGTCATAAGAGTTCAGTCTCTCCATTCCACTTCTCTCCAGCCCACAGCACTGTCCTGGGTTCTATCTCGGCGGCTGGCGCTGTAAAACTTTTTGCAGGTTAGCGCCGCCGTTGGGTACGAACCTTACGACAGAGCTTTGGCTGTCCCTTCCTTTCCTTCCTGGGCCGAAGCAGTGGATTGCAGACAGGAGTTCAGTAGAGATTCACTCTCCTATCCCGATCCCCGCTTCGGTGCCTTTCGCTTTTGTGCGTTGGCATCGGGCGGGATCGGGACGGGGGGTGTGTGTGAATCCCCCTACTTTCCTCCTATCTTGCTCATATCCATCGCCCCTCTTGGCTCGGATGACAGGTACTCGATACTTGGAGGTACGTTGGGTAAAACCATCGTCCCTCATCGTCTACCGACGGACACTCGGGGGTGGGGTCGGTCCATTGGTCCTCCTCACCCTCACACATCTTAGGCCTCCTTTGACGTTGTGAAAGCTCAAGTGGCGAATAGTTTTGCTTAAGCAATCGGACGATTTTGGCCTCTTGGGGCCCTCTTGGGACGCCTCTTTGGGGCCTGTTGGGGCGTCTGACAGCCATCTTGGGCGTCTAGAAGCGAGCGTGTGGCATCTCGGAGCACTCTTGAACCATCTTGGGGGGCTCTTGGCGGCCTCGCGGCCCTTCTTGGGGCTTTCTGGAGGGCCTCGAGGGCGGCGCTCAGGAGGACAATCATCTCTGAGTCGGACCGCCCGGGACCTGCCCGGGACCCTGCCGAGGCACTAGAAATATTGTTAACCAGTTACTGGAGGTCTTAGCACGCCTCTGGCCCGTTGGGCCAGCGAATTTTTGGTGCTGCCGTTCGGCTGCGTTGCCACGCGCGCTGTTAGCCGCCACGGCATCGTCAGACGACAGCTCGCCAATCGACGACGCAGGGGGATTCCGCTGAAAGTGCACGTCTCTCAGATCCTGCTTCGCATGTGGCCCCCCAGCGAAGTATCGTTCCGGACGCAAGTTGGTGCTTCGGGTTGGTCTCTCGCGCACGCCACTGTGGAGCCGGGCGGTGGACAAGAGTCAGCATAGGCGGTGCAGGCGACCGTGCTAAGCCCGTTGCCCATAACACGTCTGAATGATGTGATTTCTCGAGGTTGCCGCTTGCATCCAATGCTTGTCAGGCCTATCCTTGGTCAGTCTCGAGTCCCTCAGGACGCCCAAAGGGGTTGCACCGCAAGCGCCTGCAACCCTTTGGTGTGCGGCGGCGTTGTTGGGCAGCGGCAGACACTGCACGCAGCAGGCGCGCGGCACACTGAACCATTCGGGGTACGGCGCGAGGGGCACGACTTGTGCCTTGTATCGGGCGCGCGTTTGTTCAGCCATGTGGCGTTCCAAATGAGGTTTCGCCTTCGAGGTGGCGGAAGGTGGCGGAAACAAAACGAGGGCGGCTCCGTCGGCGGAAGCTGGCTGAAAGCCAGTGGAGGCAAGCTGAGGTAAAGCAATGCCCCCCTCCCGGAGTGGACGCATGTATTTTTTTATACATATATTTATATATATACACATATTACGGCCTTCGGCCCATCCCGCCACCGTGCTTGGGTTGTGGGTAGGAGGCCTATTAGATGTTCGTTGGGATCTCGTGGGAGGCCTATCGGTGGCCTCTGGGATGCAGTCTCGAGGCCTCGTGGGGGCCGATGCGACCCCTAGCCAAGCAACGCAGATCTCGAGGCGTGGGCTCCGCACCTTGCACATCCGAGGTAGAATCAGAACAGAAAAAGCACATCAGCACGGAGGGTTTTATTGGTTTTACGCCAGAAGGGGGCGTCGTTGAGAGGGTGCCTGGCACGGATGCGGGGATCGGGGTGGCGTCGGTGTTTGGAGCTGGCGGTTTGCGTGGCAAGCGCGTTTAGCTGGTCGCATTTGTTCGGAACGCGTGACGGGTGAAAAGGCCGCTCACCAGCAATTGGCAGTCCTCTGCCCGCGGGCCAAAACAAATCGTCGCGCGCCTCTGCATCAGCTAAGAAAGGAAACATTGAGAGCCTGTGCCCCCTTGGCTCTTGAACTAAATATGACAGTGGACTGCTGTGGCCTGGGCGGGCGAGTCTGCTCTTGCGAGAGCCTCTGTGATGCCCTTGCACGCCCACTCAGTCTGCCTCTGAAGCCAGGCGTGGGCGAGAAACTCCTGCCCCTCTCCCTCCCGGGGGGGAGAAAGACGACGACCACGAGGCTCCGACGGAGGACCAGGAAGAGGAGGAGGAGGAGGAGGAGGAGGAGGAGGAGGAGGAGGAGGAGGAGGAGCAGGTTGTGGAGATGGGGCGGCTGCCGAGAGAATGGCGGCCTCCCCCTCGACAGGCTACGCCACCATTTCTCGAGCCGCCTGCAATCGGGATCTTAGCCCTGGGCCTCGGACCGCTCTGCAACTTGTGTTGGCTGGCGCGTGTGGTTGCCAGCTTGGGCCACAAGGTGAGGGCTTCACCAACTACATCAAGAACACGGCCAGCAATGTGGCTCCCCGTTCAAAATCGTCCACGTCCGCATTGGCAGGGTGGCAGTGCATTTGGGCCCCCTGTTTGGCCCATCTGTCGGCATGGGAAGTCCCGAGAGCTCTAAGGTGATCGTCCGTGCCGGCGCACAACGAGTCTACATCTTGGTTGCATTTCATTGTGCTGACGTGGCAGGCCGAAGTTTATGCTGGGTCTCCAAGAATATGTTTGTTGAGGCCTGCGTAGCGCGATTCCCTATCCAGCGCGACGCACGCAGGGCCATTGAGACGAACGCCCCCATGAAATCAGTGACGAGTTCGCGATCTCCGGACCTCTTCAGAGCAGCAGCGCACGAAGCGATCCATTCGCCTCTGGGGAGCGTCTTGGGGGCCTCTTGGGGCCTCCTTGGCGCCTCTTGGGGCCTCATGTGGGCCTCTTGGATCGTAAGGATCGGGTTTTCGGTTCGTGTTCCCTCTTTCGGGCGCCTTTGGTCACCACCCACCAAACCACCCCAACCCAACCCGAAGGCTCAGATTTGCCCTCGATTTCCAGTGGGGGGGGGGTCGGGGAACGTCGAAAAAACACATGTGCAACCCTTACCCCCCCCCAACCCGAAATTCGGGTCTTCGGGTTGGGTTGGGGTGGGTCTGGTAGGTAGTCCTTTGGGGCCGAAGTGGGGCCCTCGTGGGCCGTCTTGGGCGCCTCTTGGGCCGTCTTGGGGCGTTCTTAGGCCGACGGGGTGCCAGCTCGGAGGCTTCTCGGGCAGTTCTCGGGTGGTCTTGGGGGCATTTTTTGGGCCGTCTCGGAGCATCGGGAAGCCGAGAAGGCGAGGACGCCAAAATTCTTCGAGCGCGTAGGGGAAATCGGTGATTTTCACCTTTGGGGGACCTCTTTGAGGCCCCCTTGTGGCGTCTTGGAGGTCACTTGGGCTGTTGTGGGGCCAGCTTGGGCGTCTTGGGCCGACTTTTGGGCGTCTCGGGGCCCTCTTGGAGTGTCTTGGAGGTCGCCTGGGGCCTTACAGTCAACGCGCATAGTAAGGACGAACGACTCTCTCAAGGGTGCCCTTGGGTCCTTGCCTGCCTCAGCCTCTGCGGCCCGTCCCTAGCAATTTGTTGCAGGCCAGTTTCTCAGGCTCCCTGGGGGTTTGGCCGCCTGCCGCCCAGCATACACCTTAGGCGATGCTTAAGAAAACCCAAGCTTTCGGCCAGAGTCTCGATTATTCTTAACGTTTCAATGTAAATCCTAAGATTTTAATAAAAATGTTGGGTTTTGATTCAAGTTCTGAGACTATGAATTTCTTAACCCATGATTTCTTAAGCATTTCGCAGGGTGTACTTCAACTTCGGCCTCCAAGGGTCGTGCGCCCTTGCCACGCGTCCCTGCTATACGTTTTCACTGCCTTGGCCCGCCTCGTGGGCCCCCGCGGGCCTGAGCAAAAGTGCAACAGCGCTTCCCGGAGCCCATGTGGGGGGGGCACGCGTGAAGTCTTATCGGGGGCGCACCGTGAGTCCCCCGCCAGATTTTGGAACATGTCGGGCCTGGGCCCCTCACATCGGGGGCGTCAAAGAGGGGGGTGCTGACCAGGGGGGGGTGATATCATGGCGGGGGCCAGGATAGTTCCTCAGATTTTTTGGCGCCTCTTCTCATCTCATTACGTCCCTGGCCCCCCCGCTGGGCCGCGCACACGCCGCCGGTCATGATTTGCACCCCCCCCTCTTGGACTCCCCCCTCTTGGCCGCTCCCGATCAAAAATTCCACAGGACTGAGGACTGGGGCTCCAGGGATTGGGCAAAGGACCTGAGGACACGACCACTCCGTGCCCAGAGTCACGGTGGCGGATATATGTGCAGCCTTACCCGTGCTCCCAGCGGACAGAGTAGCTACTGCAGCGTTTCATTGACATGAGTAGTTCACACAAGGTGTACGCTCGTCGTTGGACGCAGCTCGTGGCAACAGCGAATGCTTCGCACTCGCCTGCAGCTGGCCCGCCTGAGGCAGGCATGTTGTGCCCTTGCGCAGTGCTGAGCCGTTTCGCCATTTTGCCTCGTCCTCTCCGTCCTCAGGGCCGTTGTCGTCCTCCTCCTTGACCCCCCTCCTCCTCCTCCTCCTCCTCCATGCACGTGTCCTCCTCTCGTGTGCATGCTTGCCACCTCCTCTGCGCCCCGAGAGGACGTGTGGAGCGCCGGGGTTGTCCTGCTGGATGTGCTGGCGAGGCAGTGTGCCTTCGAGGACGAGTTCACCGGCTTCCAGGCCACCCCCATGGCCAGCCTCCTCTTCAGATCTGCGGAGCGCATTTCCATGCAGCTTCGGGCAAGGTGATTTGTATGGCAGTGTCCCCCTCCCCTCCCTTCGACGCCTCTTCGAACGGCGCTGGGCCGAAAAGCCGTGCCATTTGGTCCCCACTTGCGCGTGAAGTGCAGAGTTTTTTTCGGGCCTCGCCATGCCTCCCCCTTCCCCTCCAGGCAAGCAGACGTGCGAGAGTCTGAAGAAAACGGGGCACCCCCAGATCGTCGACAATACATGCCGCTTCAGTCCAGGCGTTTTGCCTTGATTTCGGCTTCCGCGGGCCCATTGGGCTGCCCTGGGCCATCTTGAGCCGTTCTGCTGTCGTCTTGGTTGCCTTGGAAGCCGTGTTGGAGGCCATCTTGGCCGCATGGAGGCCGAACACACCGCCAGACAGCAACTCCGGAAGGGGCGCTGTTTGTGGTGCGCGCGTCGAGGGGGGGGGGGCTCTAAAACTGTACACACAGGGCCTCCCAGACAGCAGACAGCAGACGCGCACTCTGACACGCCCGCTCTGTGCAGGCACGGTGGCGGATCTACGCATTGCAGTCTATGCGAGGCGGCGGCAGGGCGGCGACAACGGCGACGAGGTGGAGACGGCGGCAACACGACCGCCAGACCGACAGACAGGCACAGACGACGGGCGGCGACGAGGCGGCGAGGGACGGCGACGGCGAGTACACAGTCGCAAGACAGGCTGCACGGCCCAGTTCCTCAGAGCACAGGTAGGATGCCCGAAGTGCAAGCATTGTTTGGGGACTCGCAGCAGATTGGCCTGCACGAGAGGAAGTAAACGGGGCGGAGAAGGAGGATGAGGAGGAGTGGACGGAAGGGACAAGTAAAGAAGCGAATGTTTGTTTTCGTGCTTGGTTATTTCACCACGAACAGATAAACTTGATGATGGCAACGATGATCATCATGGCGATCGTACGATGACGGTGGCGACCATGACGACGAGGACGATGGGGGTGATGATGGTGATGATGATAATGATGATGGTGACGATGGTGGTACTGATGATAATGATGATGATGATGATGATGATGCTGATGATGATGTTGACCATGATGGTGATGACCACGATCATGATTATGGTGATGATGACGATGATGTATATTATGATTTTGCTTATGATGATAACGGACGGCGGTGAGGATGAAGGTGGTACTGATGATAATGAATGTTGTAAATAAATCAACGACACTGGTGATGAGGATGCTGTTGTTGATTGGAGTTGTGGTGAGGATGGTGGTGCTGACGATGTTGATAATACTACCTAGTAGTAGCAACAATGGTGGTGCCGACAATGCTGCTGAGGGGGGATGGGAAGGAGAAAGTGAAAGAGGAGAAGGCACAGGATCAATAGCGGCAGGAGGAGGAAGAGGAGCAGGGAGGAGGAAGAGGCCGACCTCCTGCTTCCGCTCGCTCCTTGGCCCAAAATTTCGGCAGTGCACGGAGCTCGCCCGCTCCGTCCACAGCTCGCGCGCGCGCCGCGCCGTCCCCTTCGGCTGCCTCGCGAGAGTGACCACCCTCTGCGCCGGAGTGGCCTTCCGTCGGCGCGGTTTCCACGGGGTCTCGTTTCTCACCCTCTGGCGATGGCAGTGGCGGGCGTTACCGCGGGGGGGGGGTGGAAGCGGAAGGGGGAGGCGAGGGGGCGGTGCTGGCGCGCAGGAGGTCAGGAGGGGGCGCGGCCCCGCTGAGGAGCGGCACCGCGAACCGTCAGGACGCGATCTCCAGGGGTTCTCGACTGCACTGGCCTGCGCGTTCGGATTTCGCAACTGCTCCTCCTCGCTATACTCACGTTCGCCACGTCGTCCTCGTCATCGACTCCTCGTTGTCCTCGCCTTCTTTTTCTTCTTCGCCCAATACGCCCATTAGACTACAGCGACGCTTCCCGTTCTTGTCCGATCAGGTTTCCCAACTACTCCCCCCGCCTGCGCCCCCCTGAGGCCGTGCGCCAAGGGCCACTCTCGCCTGGGGGTCACTCTTGCGTGGAGCCTGCGCTCTACCCGAGCTCCTCCATCGGGGGGGCGACCGAAGCCACACAGGATTGGGGCTTCGAGGTTCGGTGGTGTCTCTCGTTTGTTGTTGGTTTGTTTTTCCTGCGTCCTGCTGGGCCATCCTCGTCGCCAGGGCTATGAGAATTCGGGAATGTTTCGGCGTGTTTGTTTTGCCCGTCCTTGATGCCACTAGCTGGATCCGCTTCGAGATTCTGGTCAGACCTCTGCGCGAGGGTCGAGGATCGAGGGTCGAGGATCAGATGCCGAGGCGACTGCCAGCAGGCGGGATGCACGAGCGGCGCTCCACGATAGGCATCGCCTTCGAGAGACTGAGAGCTTGGCCTCTATCGGCGGAGGCCAGGGGAAGGCGGCGGGAGCAACAGTCTGGCAGCTCCGTCAGCGGAAGGGTTCGGAATCAGAAGCTCACGGGCGGCGAATGTGCCCGTGCCCGCGCCCTCGCAGTCTGGATTCTGGGGCGCGCTGCCGTGGACACGCGGTCGCGCGAACACCTTCCGCGCGGGGCACGCGAAGAAAGTGCCCCGCAGCCATGGGGTCGCGGCCCTGGGTGGCCCTGTCCGCGAAGCCGTGGATACCTCTGCGTGTTCCGCCTACGAAGTGGCTACCCCCGACGAGATGCACGCATACATGTCAGACATAGTTTAAAGTATATATATGTATGTGTACATACACAGATCCTTCTCTCTATGCACATATATGCATGCATATATATATATATGTATATAAACATATATATATATATATACACATGTATATATACCAGCTAACGGATTTCGGCCTCCCCTGGCCCTCTGGACGCCCCACGCAGGGCACTCTCGGCCGTGCTGGCTCAAGCGGCCTCAGACACCCACTAGGCGCTCGACGACGGCCCGCATGCATACACCACATTGATTGTCCGATGGCTGTGTTTGAGTTTGGGATGCTCGGGTCTTCCGTCTTCTGAGCGTCCGAGGCCGCCCAAGAGACCCCGACACACAACGACTTAAAAGAGATTGCAGGCAATCCAAGGGAGCCCCATAACGGCCCAACAGGGCCTCAAAATGGCCCGAAAAGCGCACCCCTGGCGGTCCAAGAGGACCTTCCGCCGCCCTCCGAAGTTGAGTTGGTCGGGGAAGGGTTCGCAGGAGAAGCCGATGGAACTACGGAGACGAAGAGACAATTTTCAGGGACGAACGAAGGACACATCTTACCACGACGACCACGACGAAGGTGGCAACAATGAGTTATCATTGTTTTGACTAGTTTTACCTCTGTCTGATTCCTCCCGCTGGCCGAAACTAAAATATCATGGTCCATGACGCGAAGCGCCTGTGCAGTGTTGCATGTGTATACACAGAAACGTGTTGATACGAACACCCTGTTATACACACATCTACAAATGTATGCGCATGCGTCTGAATGTAAAGATATAGATGCACCCGTATACTACATATGTAACTGGATATGCATCTGGACAGAGATCGTCCCCAAAGGGTGCTTTCATTTCGGACCTCTTCTGTTTCAAAGAGCGGGCTTTGCTGTGTCGCCCCAGCCGGCTGGTGGTCGCCCCGTCGCCGCTCGTCGCCGCCCGTCGACGCCAAAGACTTGGGCGGGTGTGTCGCCCCGGCTGGCTTGCGGCCGCCTTGTCGCTGCCCCGTCGCCGCTCGTCGCCGCCCGTCGCCGCCGCGCCGTCGCCGCATGTCATTACACTCGCACCACACACGTTGCACCACATCTATTTCGCCACATGTGCATCGCGAGCACCACGTAGCTTTCAGGATGCACTGCGTAGTCTGCTTGACACTGTAGCACCACATGGCTCACACCACAGATCTTGCGCCCCAGAAGTTGCACACATGAGTTGCACCACGTAGATTGCAGCACACATCTTGCTTGACATATTAGCCAGTGTGGACCACAAACAGTGTGTTTCTTGCACTAAACGACTTCCGATATATGTGCAGCAATCTATGTGTCGCAACATATTGTGTGTAATGCTTGTTGTGACGTCATATGGTGTAATCTATGTTGTGCACCCTATGTACATACATGTGGTGCAATATATTTGGTGTCATCTGCGTTGTACAATATACGAAGTTCTTGCGTGGAGCAAAATAGTTTGAGCAATCTCTGTCTGGCGGTCTATGTTGTTCATTCTATGGTGTGCAATCTATGCCGAACGCCCTATGCGGTGCAATCTATGTGGTAGAAATCTTATCTGAAGATGCAGCAAGACTCTTCAGGAGCGCGCAAGCATATTATTTGAAAAGCACTGTTGCAAAACCAGGTCCCGACGGCGGGCGGCGACGTGGCGGCGACCGCGGCGGCGACAGCCGCTAGACCGCCACCCAGGCCCAGACGACGGGCGGCGACGGGGCGGCGACGTTGGCGACGTAGCCGCCAGACCGCCACCCAGGCCCAGACGATAGGCGGGGCCGAGGCGGCGACGGGGCGGCGACAGCGGCAACATAGCCGCCAGACCGCCACCCAGGCTCAGACGACGGGCGGCGATAAGGCGTTGACGGGGCGGCGACGTCGGCAACATAGCCGCCAGACCGCTACCAAGTCCAAGTTTCTGAGAGCGCACATGAGAATCTCTGAATGCAAATCCTGTTCGGGGAAGTTTCACCACATGGTATGCAATACTGATTGAACCCTACCGGTCGCACCACATATATATATATATATATATATATATACATACACATATGTATAGCACCACGTAGACTCTGAGCATCGGTCGCACGACATTGTATGCACCACATAGTTCGCATCACGCAACACACGCCGCACGCGTAGCGTGCACCATATAGGTTGCGCAGCATGTATGGCACCACACAGATTGCACCATTCTGATTGCGCCACATAGTTTGCACCACAAACTTTGCACTACCGATCGTACCACATGGAGCTTCCACTGATCTTTTGCACAACCAAGCTTGCACCGCATAGTTTGCACCACATGATTTG